TAAGCCCTTAGGAGTCAGTTTAATACCATGTTAGTTTAACTGACCTTAGGACCTATAACCTGTCCAGCCACAGGTTCTTGGCCTGATAACAGTGCCAGGTATGGGGTCTAGCTTGTAGAACAGGCCTCAAATCCAAGCAGAAAATGTTTGAATACTCCCATGACTTTCTCGCTACTATACCAGTAAACATGTTTGTCAGTTGACATCATTGTAGCTGGGAAGGGTTCACAGCTGGGGAAGGCTGATGATTTTTCTCTTCCATTATTGTGCACAGTACCTTCCAACACTATGGAGCTAATGAGTAGGGATGAAGCGTCCAGCCCAACACACTTGATTTCTCATGTTCTATGACTCAAAATGTTCTGGAGAGTAAAAAAGAGCAATGCAATGGCCTGTAATATTAGGGCGGTCTATAGGACCTCACTGGCCAACAACTCCAAAAGATATAAGCCATTCCTAGAACTGGGCTTTGTATTTGCTAGCCTGTGGTGTCTAGTAGGGGTATTGTCATCCCATTATAGGGCAGCTCCTTTTAAACTCTTTTTATATATGTATATATTTTAGGAAGCTTCTACAGTTATAGGTTTCCATTAGACTTTTCCAAAATTTCAATGTTAGTTCCTTCTTACCATGGTCCCTTTTCCACCCAGTCCTCCCATCCTGACCTCATTTAACCTTTCTTCTTCTATCATTCTCCTTTCTCCCTTTATACCACTGCTTTCTAGCTACCCTCCCTGAGAGACTCTTCCCCCCATGACTCCTTTCTAGTTTTCTGACCCCTGTGGGTATTCCAAATGAAACATACATGTTTGAAGATTCAAAGCTAGCACCTACATGTGAGAGAGAATGGGACATTTCTCTTTCTGGATCTGGGTTACCACAATGAGATGATTCTGAAAATGTTCTTGCAGGCCTAGTCTGGGCTAGTGGTCTGTGGGGTAAGGGTGCCTGAGTGGTTTAGCCTGAATGCTCTTTCTTTAGGAGCCCTTCTTTGACCTCTACTTCTCAAACTTATCTTAACATCCGGTTTCTTAGATCAGGACATAAGGGTGGAGGATGGGGTGGGGAGGACTCTCAATTTAATACGTTTAGTAATGTGGTCCTGCACCTTGGGCTGAGAACCCAGGTCAATGTCCTGGTGCTGCTGCTGATTTACCGTCTCCCTTGAATCTAACTTAGAATTTTAATTTCAGTTTGTAAAAGCATTAGTATCTCTGAGGTCATCTGTTCTTTGTTACTGTTCACACATCATGGTAAGTTACAAGAAATTACTTAAATCATCTTGTCTGAAAATGGGGACTCAACAGTGAAACTTTTTGCAAGGACAACATCGTGAGCTGTAGAAAGCAAGCTGAAGGCAACATTACAAATCCTTCTTTCTTCCCATTCTTGCTTGGCTGTGTCTCCTGCAGTATTTGAACCTTAATCCCCAGGATGATAGAATTTAGAGTGACCTTTGGGAGCTGATTAGGTGAAAAGGGTGGAGCCTTCATAGATAGGATTAGTGCCCTTTTAAGACGAGGTAGGAGCCCCAGTTTCTTCTTTCTCCATTTGAGAAAGCAGGAAGACATCTGTCTGAATGTGAGACATGGGCCATCATCAGGTACCAAATCTGCACCCTCATCCTGGACTTTTCAGACTTCAGAATGAGATGGCTGCTCTCCTAGCTCCTAAGTTATGTTGTTTGATTACAGCAGCCTAGGCAGGTCAGTGTAATGCTCTACCAACCCATATTTAGCTGTCAGGGTAAAAAAGAAGTTTCTCCTTAGGGAAGGAAGAAGATTCAGGTGTTCAAAGGCTCCTGTCCAAATCCAGTTGAGTTGCTATCACGTTTAAGGAAAGGTAAAAACTTCATTTTCCCGCAATTGTATTCCCTTGAGTATTCTAGAATCTAAAGAAAGCATTCTCAGAATAGATATAAGAAGGGAAAGAGGAGTCCTGGCAATGTCCTACGTCTTGGTATTTAAGTATCAGTACTAAAGGGTCAGCATGGAACCACTTTGGGGATCTGTATCCTGGAAGTCAGAGGGACAATATGCCTTCTTTTTTTCTATATGCCCTCCTTCCATTCATTTAATGTCTTGAGTCTTACTGTGCTCATTTAAACCTTTAAAGGCTGATGTATGCGTGAAAAAGACGCCAGCTCCTGTTTCAGTCTTCCCTCCATCTCAAGGTGGACATCGTTTGAGGGTTTGGTTTCCCACAACAACAGCAGATACACCTGTGGATTCCTATATAGAGAAATGACGAAGACTTGACTAGAGCCATGTATGTGCTCAATGTAGGACTTAAACTATAAAGCTGGATGTCCTGGCCCTTTGCTGTTGGGACACAGCAGTGAACCGTACTTGTATAAATGGAAATATGTAAAATCTGTAGGTGATGAATAAGGACACCTTAGGCATTTGTGAATCACTGTTGTTCATAATTATTGCAGATTAACATTTGGCCACAAAACTTGCCACCCACGAGGATGGGCTGTCAGGGAAGGAGCCAGTGGGAAAGAGGACTTTGGATTATGGTGAGAATTATGTTGATGACAAGAAGCTTTGGAGGTGAGGAGAGCTGTCTACTTAAAAACCCTGATGGACTTCCAACTCATTCTGTGTTCTCTGCTTTCTAGGTGACTCTGGTCTTTCCTAGGCCTGTCCTTTTTATGTTAGCTGCTTTATAAGAAAATGGTAGAGTTGAACTTGGCCTGTGGTTTTCAAACATGTCTAAATCTGCTCAGCTACTACAGCAAAGTACCTTAGACTATAATTTATAAGTAATAAGAATCTATTTCTAATAGTTCCTGAAGTCTGGAAGTCCTAATTCAAGGTGCCAACAGATTCAGTGTTTGGGGAGTGGGCTCACTCTCTGCTTCAGTAAAGTATAGGTTGCTACGTCCTTACAAGGTGAGAGGAACATGGAGGCTCCCTTCAACCTCTTTTATCACAGCACTAATCTCATTCCTGAGGGTGGAACTCATGTCTTTGTCTTTCAATCACTTCCCTAAAGACCCCTCCTCTGAATAGGAATCTCAGATCCAAATGCTTAGATCATAGAAACAAAGTTTTCCATTCCTATCCCTATAAGAATGTTAGAAATCTGCATGGAAAGTTGGCCCATGGGGACTTTTCTGGGTTGCAGAAGGGACGCGGTCTCAGTACATCCCTCTCACCTCTCCTTAATAGCTCCCAAAATAGTCTCAAGTCAAAAGAACTCTGTGTTCCTCTTTGCTGATAATAGCAGCAGTTCCCATTCCAGCCTGGCTCAGCACTAAGCCCTTGACATACCTTGACTCTGTCAGCCCTCAAGACTCCCTTGGTTCTTATAAAAGTTAAGTGATTTGCCAGGTCACAGCTAATATGAGAATAGGGATTCAGAGCCTGGGCTTGCTCCTTCCCACCCTTCTCTTACTCCCCAGCCAGGCCTCTTTGCCTTGTCCCAAGTCCAGATTGGCAGGAAGGGGGTGAATTATCTATATCCCTAAAAGAATTCAATAATAGAAGATTGCTACTGGCTAAGTCTTCAGACATGGGGGAGGGGTAGGTAAGAGAGCTAAGGGCTAAATCTGAGTTCTCACCCCAGTGGAAGCTCATTTTATAGAGGCCCAGAGTGTGTGTGCCAGCAACCCCCACCCTCTCAACAGTTGCACAAGGGAAGGTTTGACAGAACACAATTCAAATGGGCATTCATTAGGTAACAGGCCCATTTCTGCTTAATCACAGGGTGTAAGAGAGCAGCAAAATTGGATCAGCCTATGTGTGGCCCTACAAGTACCACTGGTACACTTCCATACTCAAAATGACTGATCTTTAATGATGTGCCTCTTAGAAACCTGGGGCTGGGAACAAACTGAACAGCTTAGAGTCCCCATGGCACAAATTATACATTGTTGAGAAGTTAGTGACTGAAACTTTCCTGTATTGTCAGACTCTGGGTCACATGCCAGCTGGCTAGCCAGGTGGTGGGGACATGGGGATGACATGCCTCAATTACTGACTTTAGAAAACTGAGCCCACTGCCCTGAAAGTCTGGGGTTCAACTACGTACTCCCGTGTATCATAACACATCTTTGGGAGAGCATTGAAGATGTCCATCACAAACTGTCATTAATTGTGGCAACTCAGGCAAGATTCTCAATGCTTCTTCCACAGGGTGCTCTCTACAGATTACTGCTATGATTTCTTTCACCTTTTTATCTGGACTTTTTTTTTCCCCAGATGCTACTCTTTCCAGAATACCTTTTGAGGGACTTGGACAAGTGGGGTGCCCATCACAGAAGCCAAGCATCTGTGCATTCTGTGTATACCCCTCCACTCTATTCCCTTCATTCCATCTGTTGGCTCCCTCCAATACATGGAGATGACAGCGGTGCTTACTGACTGTCTTGGGATGGGCGTGAGCCCTTCTGGGCTGTCATTGTTCTGAATGAGGTGGTCAGTCGATGATTGCCTAGAGACTTCGCCTCCCCTTGCAATTTCAAGCATCTCAGAGAAGGGTCATTGGACAGACATCAGTTGCTGGGTGTTGGCTGCTCTTAGGTATGTCCAACTGAGCTGTAGCAGAGGTGGCTTTTCTTAGACAATCCATGTGAGAGCTGGATTGTTCATGTTGTAAACTTAGTGCTCTGGAGTGACCGTTACACTCTCTGAGAAACACCAGGCTCTTATATCACAGAAGAGTGAACGAAATTGGGACTAACCAGATGTGTGGTACAGCAGTTCTGACTCTAACACCCATCCACTGTCACACTCATCTTTCTGAGGAAACAGGAGAGTGGAAGCATGATTGATCCTTCCTATAGGTGACACGGCTGATGTTGTGGTTAATTCTGTGAGCTGTCATATCTAGATGGGCCATAATGTGCCTCAGTGTGATGAGGTGGCTTTGATGAATAGTAATCCTAATTTGCACTAAAAGGGTGCATGCCCAGGGGAACAAAAGACTTCCTGCTTAGTGTGTGCTCACCAAAAACACATTAGCAGAAAAAAATCATTTCTCAGACCCCAAAATTTTAGTTAAATACGCACAATTTTATTGATTGAAGATATTAGGACAAAAACATTAAACCAAGTACAGGACAAAGCACCAGAGGCCGTTGATCCCCACCATGCATGTCATCAATCTTTCCTCCCACCGAGTACTTAAAAAATAGGGGAGAGGGAAGTTGAAAGGTCCTTCTTGCCACAACATCATCTTCAGAATGTGCAACGCCTCTCTCTGCATCTTCCATTATCAAAATAGAATCAAGGGCACATCCACGGCAGCCTTGTCTCCTGATTATGATTGGGGAAGCTGCCCACCTGGGGACAGGGTCTCCTGTGGAGCAGGCGTGAAGCATCCAAGAGTCCGAACACACATGCCACATACTAGAATGAAGCACAGATTCAAGTAACATTTACATACTAGAGTCCACGTGTTACCTACCCAAAAACAGGACCATTTCACAAAACATATACAAGCAGTAAAACCCAAACGACTGAGGTACTGGGAACACAAATATTTATGCCAAAAGAGTTTTGTATCATACAGCAATAGAAAAGCCAGAATACAAAAGGAAACATTTTGCCACTCGAAATCAAAGAAAGCTATCTAGAAGAAGCCAAATTAAAAGTTATTTCAGGGACAGAAATACTCAAACAAGGAAAAAAATTATAAACGTTTACTACAGCATGTAACATGTCATCCCGTCGACCCGTAATTGAAGTACTGGCTTTAATACATCACAATGTGACATTTTCCTTAATAAATAGAAGAATTCTTGAAAATACAAAGGTGCGTATTGGGATAGAGAGCTGTCTGTATTTATATCATCCTAGCTTTCAGCTTATTACTCTTTCCACTTTCTGATCAAACCAGTGGGCCTTTCCAGGCCCAAAGAATCACTCTTCATAAAGAAAACAAAATAGCTGCCCTGTATTTTATACACGTGGGACAACCTGTCTTATTTCACTAGTTTCCCATAAAGCAAAGACAAAATGTTGTGACCAGCATTGCAAAAAAGCATCCGACTCCAGGAGCCTCCTGCCGCCCCCCACCCTAGACCCTCACTATCATTTGAGCAGAGAGGAATGCCTACGCTGTGAACCTTCCAAAGAACAAAACTCAGAAAGAAGCTGTGTTTTTCTCTTTTTCTTTCTTCTTCCCCTAGACTGACAGCGGTAATACATCTGCAAGTCTGACTTCTAATAGCTTCCTGCCACAACACCGCCTGACGCAAAACAGATATGCCGGTTAAAGAACAGATTTGTTCCTCCCCACCCTTTCAGGGAGCAAAGCATTAACATATCACTTCCTAACCAGCATAGGAAATAGTTTATTTAGAAAAAAATGAGTTAAAGAGAGCGAATATGAGACAGCAACTGGAACTTTCTTTTGGTTTTAGCACCCAGGTTGCAGGTCAGTCTGTGTGCACCGAATTTTTTTAAGTGAATCCTATTAATTATCACATAGGTGGTTGGTTTATTTTTAAAAACAAAAACAAATCCTCCATCAATTGTTCCTTCCCTGAATCATAACAAGAAGTTAAATGCTAACAGTGCGATGCCAAGGTATGTGGTTGAGGCAGAGAGTTTCGATTCTATCAAGATCTGCAACTATTTCTGAACAAAATGAAAAGTGGGGTAGGTGAAAGCAGCCCAGCTGGCAAGAGGGGGTAGCTTTCAGGCTACCCCGGGGAAGAGAAACCCGGTGGGGAGGTCTCCCAATGGTCAGAACCCAACCCCTATCCCACATGTCTTGTTCCCATGCTACATGTTCAGTCAGCTCCTGGAAGGACTTCCTCTTCTGAACCAAGAAATGTATAAGTACGAGTGTCCATCTTGCTTCCCAGCCAGGCCACCTGTATCCCAGAAGAACTCCTTGCTGGGGCCCTCTCTTGCTCCTGGTACCTGCTAAGTATATGTGGGCCTTGAGCTCAGTTAAAGAAAGGGTCCAAGTTTTCCTCCATGTTGATGTCGGGCACCAACTGGTCAGACACTTCCTTAGCACCATATCCTGAATTAGAGACGCTAAAATCTGTAGAAAACCAGGGGTGGTCCAGAATTTCCTGCGAGGTCAGCCGCTCTGAGGGCTCCCGCCGCAGGATGCTTCGGATCAGGCACTTGGCCTTAGGTGACAGAGTCTCTGGAATGTTGAACTGGCCTCGACGGATCTTGCTGAAGAGGGAACTGGGCTCAATGTCATGAAAAGGGTAGCGCCCCACCAACATGGTGTACAGCATTACCCCCAGGCTCCACACGTCCGCTGCCTTGCCCGAATAGCTGCCACTGGTGTTCAAAATCTCTGGGCTGACATACGCTGGGCAGCCATGCTTGTCAGAAAGGGAGTCATCACCACCCCGGAGAATGTAGGCATCTTCCAAACTCTCTAGCTTGACCCTGGTCCTGTAGGGAAGAGACAAAGATGTGAATGCCTAAGAGTAAGTGGGGGTATATCCATCCATCATGGTAACAGGTCTCCTACTGTTCATTCATTCTGTATTCATTCATCTGACCAGCCAGATGTGCCTCACTGGGAATCTTTTCCAGACTCTGTTCTAGAGCTGGGGCTACAGGGATGAACGAGATTGACAAGGTGGCTTCATGAAACTTACAGTGTGCTAGGAACTCAATCAAATTCTTAGCAAGTAAGCAAAGCATAAATAACTTTTGTAACCCTGTCTTGCTCAGAAAGGGACAAGAGATGACATCACTTTCTTGAAGTCACACTTGCATGGAAGGCTTCAGAGAATGCAAAATGAGACCTAATCGATTAGGAAGTGCCCAGCAGCAATGTCCGTGAGTTCCAGGTGACCATGTGCAAAGACTTTCTGCCTTAGCTCACTCTATTTGGGCCACACCATGCCTCCCGATGGGCAGACAGGATTTTACTATTCTATTTTAGAGTAGAATATTGAGACCGAGGATTTGGACAATGTTCGCAAGACCTTTAACTAGAAAATGGACACGACATGACCCATCACACTGCCCAAGTTGACCCTACTGCTCTTCGGGCTGTACCTGCTGCTTCTCTTTAGGAAACAGACAGAAACAGGGAGTTTGAATGTGAGTGGTTTCCACCAACCACTTTCTCCAAAGTTGGCATCTAAGTATCAAGACCTAGATTTGTTCCTAGATTTTTCTGGTGATGTTTTCCCCTTGTCTTACCATCATATTCCCAAGGCCCAGGGTCCTTGACCTGGCACTTATCACTAATCCCTGGTCTGTGATTCTTACCCCTCACATGACTGTGTGCCTGGGAGGGTGTGAGCATGCACCAACTGCAGCAGGACCTCAACATTCTTCTCAAACTCCAGCCCATCCCCAATCCACTTGCATATTAAAGCCTACTGAAGCTGTCCACAGGAATGTGGACCTTCCCAGATGAAATAAGAGGTGGAGAAATGCACATTAAATTCTGAGGCCCTAACATCCGAGTACACTTTAATACCACAAGGCTTGATGATGTCATCATTGGGAATAAGATGGCTTCTTATATCAATTATATTTAAACGAGATGAGAACCAGGATACAAAGTGATAGTCAAGCCTGCACATGAATGTGAAAGAACTAAGAGTGACCTAGCCTCAATATTGCCCTGCCTCAGTGTCCAGCCCAGCCTTCTCTCTTCAACCCAGGTATCTCTGGGGCAGTCCTATTTTCCCATCCTACTGTTCTTTGCATAGGAAGTTAAGAATATTATAACCAGGTATGGTGGTACACACCTGTAATTGTAGTAGTTGGATGGTAGAAGCAATGAGGATCAGAAATTCAAGGCCGACCTCAGGTACAGAGCAAGTTAGAGGCCAGCATGGCTGCGTGAGATATAAACACCGCCTCCCAATGTTTGAAATGGAAATCTTTCCCTTATCTCCCAGTCAGAGCAGAGCACTGTCCTGTGAGTTAGTGGTAAAGTCCTGCTGAGAAGGTGGCCAAGGACAGGCTGGAGCCGGAAATGGGACTCAGGGGCTCTTACCAGAACCATGGCACTCACATCACCTGTTTTTTTGCATCTCAAAGTGCACACCCAGACCTCCACCAGCCATGAGCTCAAATGAGCCCCAGAAAGTGTTTGGGCAGATCACAATGGGGCCCCTGTGGTAGTCAGGGCCGATGACCCACCACCAGCTTCCTCCCATCTTCCAGCTTATCATCCTCCCCAGGCCTGCAGGTCTCAGTCTTTCATGGTGATCTGAACAGCCACCGACAGTATCTACATATAGGGAGCTGTAGAGGGGGTGAGGGGCTCCCTAGTCTAAGAAGTGACAAATGATGGGTCGATTCTAGGACATCCTATGTGTATGGCAGGGATTCCAAAGTTCAAGGAGTAACTGCTTTCCTGAACTCATTTCCATCCAGGAGGAGAAATGGTGGTCTTGAGCTAAAAGACAGGAGGGTGGATCCAGGCCAGGCTCCATCGCTCACCTGCTTTGTGGTTGCAGCTAAGTTACTAACATTAAGTAAAAACTGCCATCGCAAGCGGTTTTAAGTGTTAAGTTAGTTCAGTCTAATGATGTCCGCTTACATGCAATCACCTGAATAAATCGGCCTCAGTGTCTCTGTCAGGTCTAACTGTAATGCACAGTAGCATGTCCTTTCCTTTGCCATTTGCTCACCTACATTCTAGAATAATCCTACCATTGCATGATCTTCTCCTGTCCTTGTCACTAATGCCCTACAAAAATAGAAAAGATCTAGCTATGCTAATCTGGACTTGAACTGATTAAAAACAAATCTTTCTTCTTCCTGTTTGTTTTTTCTAATCAGGTGGCAGTGACCCACCGCCTCACCACATGTTCCAAGATGCACAGAGGGGAGTCTACAGGATCCATGGACCAGTGGAAGGGACGGGATATCAAACCCTAGGCTTAAGGGCTTTTCTCAACAGCTTCTCCCAACCTACCTGGAAAGTTCTTGGTAGAGCTCTAGCCTGGTATGGGGAACAAGCTGACCCTTCACCTACTTCCCTGACTTGGCAGCAGAGTAGTAGAGGAAGAAGGGCTGTGGAAGGAATTTCCCACCTGTGTGTCAAGGAGAACCAGGTCAAAGCCTGCCCTTCTCCCCTTGCTGAGTAACATCCCCAAGTGGAGTTCCTTTCTCAATCTCCCACCTCAAAGCTGTGCAGATAATGAATCAGAGAATGAAATTATCAAAAAGATTCTCTGCTTGAGGTGGCAGGTGGCAGTGACCCACCGCCTCACCACATGTTCCAAGATGCACAGAGGGGAGTCTACAGGATCCATGGACCAGTGGAAGGGACGGGATATCAAACCCTAGGCTTAAGGGCTTTTCTCAACAGCTTCTCCCAACCTACCTGGAAAGTTCTTGGTAGAGCTCTAGCCTGGTATGGGGAACAAGCTGACCCTTCACCTACTTCCCTGACTTGGCAGCAGAGTAGTAGAGGAAGAAGGGCTGTGGAAGGAATTTCCCACCTGTGTGTCAAGGAGAACCAGGTCAAAGCCTGCCCTTCTCCCCTTGCTGAGTAACATCCCCAAGTGGAGTTCCTTTCTCAATCTCCCACCTCAAAGCTGTGCAGATAATGAATCAGAGAATGAAATTATCAAAAAGATTCTCTGCTCTTAAGGTAGGGCTGCCCCTGAGCTGATCTGTGGGGTACTTTAGTCTCCTTCCCTTTAGGGGTTAGGGCTGCCATGAGAGAAGGTTGGGAATGCAGTGGGATGGGGCTAGAGGACGGCGGGGGGGG